TGTTCTTGTGAAACTTGTGTAACTTCCATAATGTATTTAACCGTAATGATCAAGGTTATAATAATGATAGAGGTAAAATTGATGATAACAATGATTAGTTTATTAAATAAAGTACTGCTTAAAATTATGATATAATCAATAGGCTAATATATGTTAATATAATAAATTGAATATATATACAATACAAAAGAATATATATACTTTATAAGAGAAAGTAATACAAAATTTATAGGTAATCACATAGGACATCACTGATTTGCATCGAGCAACCCTTCACTGTCATATACGGATAATAGTTCCCGCATTACTTTCTGGGTTGCTGGATTTCTGTAGCAGGCATTCTTGAAATTTATCGCTCGCTGATCTGTTTTGATTAAAGCATTAAAGTCTGCATCATCCGTCTCCACATTCCTCTGGATGGGAAAGATGCCCAAGCTGGTGTGCATAGCTGCAAATGAGAGCACATTAAGGGACACTCAAGAGAAGTTCGTAAATATTTAAGACTTACCATAGAAGGACTTCTTCTTGAGCTGCACATGAAAGTTATGCAAGCTGGGAATATGTGCTTTGTAACGCAACTTTCTGAGAGTATCTGAGAAAATCGTGAAGTAGTGCTGAATAAGCTCCTCTTGATGGTGCAAATGCAAATCCAATTGCAGCGACGAGTTGAGGAAATAAAAGAGATCAATGGCCGGAGATCCCCAGACGGCGTACTGGAAGTCAATGATAATGGCATCCTCCGGTTCGGCAGTGGCTTCGTTGTACTTAACTAGAACATTGTTGGTCCAGAGATCACCATGGCACAGCACATTGATCCCCGGGCAGACGTCGAACACTCGCTTGCCCAGTTCCATGTAGACGGGCACAAGATCGTTCAGTTTCTGGGCATAGAGCTCATAGCCAGGCCATTGGGCCACGCAGTTGCTGGCGGCCTGCACCATGCCCTCGAATATGGGCGCATAATTGTCGGTGTGCCGGTTGAACATGCCACGATCGTAGCTCTCCAGGGCGCCGTTCTCGCGCTCATTCAACACGGCCGAGGTGGCGTGCATCTTAGCCAGCTTTCGCAGCACGAGGCGAGCCAGATTGAGATCAAGGCCCAGCAGGCGGTCGGGCATCACGTAGCCACGCTTGCTGAGATCATCGAAGATGAGAGCTGAGCGATCGTAGTCAACGGCCATCGTCTCAGCAAAGAGCTGCTCACTATCCCCGATCTCTAGCAGCAGAGCCTTTAGTTTGGGCAGAATCTGTTCATAAACTGACATTTCCCGGTTGAATATGTCGTAGGGCTCCATGACTTTGCGTACGAACTCGTTGCTCTCGTATGTGGTCTTGATTATATAGTTTCCGATCTGAGAGTTGCCATCGCCGCTGACGAACTCCGCCGTAATGCGGGTCAAGACTCCGCCATAGTTTTCGCCGCGCCCTAAGGCCGGGCGACCGTCCAGCGCGATGATCCTTAGGTTCGAGTCTCTGTAGAATTGGCGAAGAGCCTCCTGTACATATCTCTGTGTTAGCCACTCTGGCCCACCCGAAATCTGCGTGTCTGCGTCAGAGCTTGAGTTCATTAGCTTTGGAATGGCGTCCAATGCGCCTATCAGGTCTGAAACTGACATTTCGCTGCGCAACTTTCGCTGATCTATTACAATCGAGCCCCTTCCACAGCCGCTACTTGGAGACTGAGACTTATTGTGCCAGTCTGACCCAGTCACAGGGCTTTTTATACAACACCTCGCAGGTGTCGGCGACGTACTCATATCGCAATTGTGATTTATATGCGAGAGGGTAAGAGATGCTGGCTAAATATTTGCATATTATAAAGTATTTAGTATATTTGTAAATTTATGCATAGCGTGCCTACGGATTATATTTAGGCTTCATAAATTGTGCCATACCATCCCACTTAGATTCGCCCACGCTCTGCAGCTGCTGCCCTTTAAACGATAAACTCACTTTAATTGGCTTAGCCTCATCGTAAGATAGTCAAAGTTGCATAAAACGCTATTTCTTGAATGTTGCCATGCGAACATAACGTATACATATGTATATATGTATGTGACACAGGACAACTTTGAATAAATATTAAACAATTTCATTTTTATACTATTCATTTTTTGTCAAAAAAGAAAGAAAAAGCACGTGGGAAGCGAATGGCCTTTTAATTTCTTTTATGAGTGCCAATATTTAGACAGTTACTGTGTCTGGGTAAATAGTCATAATAAATATTTAAGTCGGTAAATCATACGTGCACAAAGTAGTAGCAAACGAAATTTCAATCATTACATAATTTATGGAGAATGCCCAGTGACGTGCTACAAGCTTACCACAATTACAGTACTAAATCTGAAGTGGATATTAAATGAAATAGAACGTCAATAATTCAAAAATAAATTCATAATCATTCATTAATAATTTTTATTTCAATATGTAACAATTTCGTTTAAT